TCCTCCTCACCCTCCCAGGGAAGGATTTCCAGCTATCCCTGCCCTCTGGCAGTGGGAATCCATTCCCTCTCTGGCTTTCCTGCAGCTTTCCCACTCCTTGTTTTAGTGGGAAGGACTAAAGGTCCCTTCCCCACCTTCCCCACAGAACTCTGGCAGCTCTAACCTGCTCTAGGTCAGCTCCTCCCTTCCCTAATTGCACCAATTCCCTTTTTCTCCTCACCAAGGCACAGCAAAACCACAACGTTTGGCCCTGAGGGGTGAATTCCTGCCAGGAGAGTGCCCAGCCTGCAGGAGCAGCAGTGAAACCCTGGGCACAGCATTCCTGGAGGTCACTCCTGCCAAGCCCAGGGCCCCAGGACAGGAACCCAGGGAATTCTGTGCCCGTGGGTCACCCCAGAGCTCCCAGGTGGCCCCAAGCTCTGCAGGCTCTGAGCTCTGCATCTCCTGGGCTTCCTCAGCTGCTGGCCTGGCACAGCTTCCTCAGGAATGGAGAATTCCATCATTAATGGCACTTGGGAAATTATGGTGCATCAAAGAAATGCTGAAATAAATCTCCCTGATCAGCCCCTGCTCATCCAAGATCAGATTTCTTTCTTTTCTCCACCTGCAGAGCCATTGTGAGGTGAAAGGGCAAATCCAACCCCAGCAAGGACAAAATTCCTGCTTTTCCCCATCCCTGCTTTCCTGCTGCCTGCCCAGCACAGCACCCGCAGCCAGGAGGTTCCAGGGGGGGATAGGGAGCAGAAAAAGCACCCAGAGCTGAGAAATCCTGTCAAGGGTGAAAACTGAAAGTGAGAGAGAAAGAGCTCCCCGAAAGTGGCAGGAAACCACGGGCACAGCTGGCATCACCTCCTTCCTCACCCACAGCTCTGGGCCAGGCCCAGGGAGGATGAGCTCACAGCATCCCCAAATTTCCAGGGGGTTGCAGCTCTCCCTGCAGCTCCTGGAGGTTTTTATTCCTCTTAATTCTGTGGAAATTTAAAACAAACCCCACAGGGCTGATGGACCCACAGGGAGCCATAACGTCCTGGAATGGGTTGGGGTGGGAAAGGACCTTAAATCCCAGTTCCATGGGCAGGGAATGGGAATAATCCTGGATCTGTGGGCTGGGCTGTGATGTTCCTCTGTGTTTATTCCATAGAATCACTAAATCATGGAATGGTTTGGGTTGTTGGGGGTGGAAGGGACCTCAAAGGTCACCCAGTTCCACCTTCCCCCATCCCAGGCCGCTCCAAGCCCCATCCATCCCAGCCTTGGACACTTCCAGGGATGGGGATCCAAAATTTCTCTGGGAATCCACAATTTCTCTGGGCTGGGGCCTCCCCACCCTCCCAGGGCAGAATTTCTCCCTGATCTCTGCTCCTCCCAGCTCAGTGGGAGAAGTTTCCTGCCCCAAATGTACCCTGAGGGCTTTTTAGGGAATCCCAGCCCTGCCCCAGGCATTCCCAGTGGCTTCACCCCCTTCCCAGGATGAATCCCTTCTCCTGGACAGGGGATTGGAGCTTTGGAGCCTGCAAACAGCAGCCTCTAAATTTGGAGATCCCAAGCTGGGTGCTCCCAGGAATCCAGGAGCCAGGAACCAGCAGGGATCATGGGGAAATCTCAGGAATTCTGGTGGCAACTGGAAAAAAAAAGAGCCAAGAGATGCAGGTGACTGAGCCAGGATTTTAGAGGTTCCAGCACCCCAAGAAAGCTCCAGAAACACCATTTAATCATCCCCTGATGAAATACCAGCAAAAGCAGAGGTTAGGGATTAGGAATTCCAGGGAATTCCATGAGGAATCAGGACCAACAGCCACAAAAACACCAGGAAAGTTTCTCCTGACCCTTTTTTTCTCCTGTTTTGTGGAGCCATCAGTTCCCAACCCAAATCAGAAAGAGCTTCTGTCAGTGAGGCTCCTCTGGTGATAAATCTGACCTTTCAGCTTCCCAAAAACTGATCCAGAGGCAAATAAATGATTCAATAGCCCACAGGTTGTGTGAGTGGCAAATAGGATCAGGTCACTTCTATTTATAGCATCCAGAAATCCCAATCCACGAGATATTTTCCCATTTTTTAGTGGAGGGAGCAGTGATCTCTGTCTGCAGCTGCTCGTCAGGCTGGGTGGGATGGAATCACCCTGCAGCTTTAATTTCTATTTCTCTGTAATTATTGCTTAATTAGAGCCATAAAATTCTTGCCATTTCCAGTGCCAGGCAACAGGGCTGCCCTACAAAGAACCAAACCCTTCTCACTGGGGATGTCACGAGTGACTCCATGACCTTCCCAAAGTACTTGGAGCCTGTTAATGAGGAAAATCCATGTAATTTTAAATTCCAGGAGAAACAACATCCCACAGCTGGCAGGAAACATCCCCAAACCTCATTTCCCTCAAAGCAAGGGTGATGCCCACGATTCTTACCTGGAAACCTTTGGTCCTTTGGCCAAAACGAAGGCAAAAATTCAATTTCTGTTTATTGGGGGGGAGAGCAGCCAAGGGTGAAACAAAGGCAGGACATTTCCAGGAACCTCCCGCTTTTTCAGAAGAGCGAGGCTGGAGCTGATCCCATTTCTCATCTCTCAACTCTCCAGGCCTCAAAACCAAACTGAGCCCAGGGCTGGGGCTTTGGGGCTTTTCTCAGCGGGTTTCTTTCTGATCTGTGCTTTCCCTTTCGGTCTCAAGCAGGATTTTTGGGTATTGATCTGGGGGAGGGCAGAGCCCCGAGCAGGGATTCCCCGAATTCTGACTGCATTAGATCAAATCTAAATTTATAGAGACCCAGAACGAGCCTCACTTTGCTCTGGAGGATAATTCCAACAAAAGTAATTTCTGGTGGAAATACAGGTAGTGGAACTATATGTTCTTGTGGAAAAATCATACAGCTGCTAACTTTACAGTTATAAATTTTATATATTTATATATAAAGGATCTATAAGATATATAAGATATACAATATTCATTATCTAAATTATATTTATTATATTTAATATATTTCTTACATTTATTATATTGGGGAGGCCCTGGCACAGGGTGCCCAGAGAAGCTGTGGCTGCCCCTGGGTCCATGGAATTGTCCAAGACCAGGCTGGACTTTGGGGCTTGGAGCAGCCTGGGATAGTGGAAGGTGGAACTGGATGAGCTTTAATGCCCCTTTCAACCTAAAAAATGCCACGATTTTATGATTCCATGAAATAAATACAAAGGAACATCACAGATCTTTAATTATTCCCATTCCATTTCAGCATTGCTTCCCATTCCTCTGGGACTGCACTTGCTCAAGGAGTAATTCTCTTTTTTAAATAGATAATAATGTACAAAACAAATCCTTTTGCTCTAATATGATTAATATAAATATTAATTATCAAGATTTTTCATTCAGGTTAAGCCTGGTCAAGCAGAAGGTGCTTTGAGGTGAAGGAGGAGAAGATGGATTTCTTCCTCCATTGGGAAAAAATTTCCACTCACCAGAAATAAAATTCCAGAATTTGGGTTGGAAGGGACCTTAAATCCCATCCCATCCCATTCTGTCATGGGCAGGGACACCTTCCACTGCCCCAGGGTGTTCCAAACCCATCCAGCCTGGCCTGGGTCACTGCCAGGGATCCCAGCAAGGACTCCAGGAGAGATCTGTAGGATATCATTGGGATATATCCCAATTTAGCCCAAAAATTAACCCCAAATCCCAGCCCAGCTCTGACCCTGCTGGGAAACCTCGTGGAGCAGGGACTGAGAAACCTGGAAAGCCAAAGTGGTGCCTTTCAGGAACAGCCCTGCTGCACATCCCAAAATTCTCTTTCGCTTTTGGCTCTCGGAAGCCGCGGCTCCTACACGAGCTGGAAACCACAGCCCACGGTGGAGTGACGGGGCAGGAGTGGAAAACACAGAGAGAAATTGGAAAATGAGGCACTGCTGCTATTGGGGCTAAAAGAAGTCTCAGGACACGCCACAGGCTTCTTATAGGAAACAGCGAAAATACAAAGAACCTGAAAATGCAATATAAAACTCTTGATTCATCCTGCTCCCTTGCAGTTTGACAGCAAAAATCCCAGTGACTTCATGGCAGTCCCAATGCACAGAAAAGTTTTCTGCAGCCTTTTGGGGCAGCTGAGAGTGGCCACCAAAAATAGGAGACCATATTGAAATATTTGTTGATGATTCAAAGCATTTCTGCAAAATCAAACATTCAGGCAGGTTTTCACAAATATTCACCAGTGAGAGGTTGTCATTAGAGAATCAGAGAATCATGGAATGGTTTAGGCTGGAAAATATCTCAAAGTTCATTCAGTCCAACCATCCCCAGCCCTGCCAAGGCCACCCTTGAGCCCTGTCCCCAAGTGCCACCTCCCCAGGGTTTTAAATCCCTCCAGGGATGGGGACTGCCCTGGGCAGCCCCTTCCAACCCTTTCCATCAAGGAACATTCCCTAATATCCAACAATATGAACTCCTCTGGTGAAACCTGAGGCTGTTTCCTCTTGTCCTGTCACTTCATCCTTGAGAGGAAAGCAGCATAAAGAATAGAAATGGGAAAGCTGGAGAGAGACGATTTCCAAGGAGTGGAGTGACAGAATGAGAGGGAACGGCTTAAAAGTGAGAGAGGAGGAGGTTTAGGTGGGATTTTGGGAAGGAATTCCTGGCTGAGAGGGAGGAGAGGCCCTTGGGATGGAATTCCCAGAGCAGCTGTGGCTGCCCCTGGATCCCTGCAGTGCCCAAGGCCACCCTGGCACAGTGGAATCCCTGCCATTGGAACGAGAGGATCTTTAAGGTCCCTTCCAACCCAAACCATCCCACGATGTTGCGATTCCGTGGAAGTTCCGATGTTGCAATTCCAGCCAAGCCCACTGTTCTCGAAGCCCTTTGTGCCCCCAGAGCCCGAGGAAGGCGCTCCAGCTGTGCCCAGCCCGCCCCAGCGCCGTGCGGGATTCCCGGCCCAGGCGCTCTGAGCGCGGCGGGCCCGGGGGGAAATCCCGCAGCTGCGGCGGCTCTATAAGAGCTGTGCCCGCCGGGGACGGACGGAGCGACATGGAGCGGAGCGGCAGCGGCGAGAACGGCCCGGGGAGCACCGGGAACAGCACCGGGAACAGCACCGGGAACAACTCCGGGAATGGCAGCGGGAGCGGCAGCGGGAATAACTCCGGGAATGGCAGCGGGAGCGGGCGGGCATTGCTGTGCCTGGCGCTGCTGCTGCTGCTGCTGCCCCCGGCCCGGGCCCTGCCCAGCCCGGAGCGGGCACTGACCGACCCCGACCGGGCACTGACCGCCCCCGCCCGCTGCCTCAGCCGCTCCCGGCAGCTCCTGGAGGCCGCCAACGCCGCCCCGCAGCGGCTGAAGGTGCGCGGGGAACGGGACGGGACGGGGAGGATGTGGGGAGATGGGACGGGGCAGGGGTAGCACTCAGGAGAGCAGGGATGGAGCTTTGGTGGTACCCGGGAGGGCAGGGATGGAGCAGTGGTGGTACCCAGGAGAGTGGGGATGGGATAGGGGTGGTACCCGGGAAGGCAGGGATGGGTAGGGATGGTACCCAGGAGAGTGGGGATGGAGCAGTGGTGGTACCCAGGAGAGTGGGGATAGGGTAGGGGTGGTATCCAGGAAGGCAGGGATGGGTAGGGGTGGTACCCAAGAGGGCAGGGATGGAGCAGTGGTGGTACCCAGAGAGGGGGCAAAGGTACCCAAAGGCCAGTGAGGAGCCAGTGGTGATACCCAGAAAGGTGGGGATGGCACCAAGACAGGCAGGGATGGAGTAACTGTGGTCCCCAGGAGGGCAGGGATGGTCCCCAGGCACCGGCTGGGAAACCAGGGGCTGCTGAGGACCCAGGAGGGCAGGGATGGGGCAGTGGTGGCACCAAACCTGGAAATGCTGGAGCAGTTTTGGTCTGCTGGATGGCAGGGATGGTCCCAGGAGGGCAGGGATGTCCCCAGGATGTCAGTGGTGGCCCCAGGATGTCAGTGACAGTCCCCAAACTATTTTCTGCATTTCATATTTAACCACGGTCCTCACAGAGCCTCATTCCTGGGGTTCATCTGAGCACAGATACATGAAATTGTGTATCAAATTGTGTCTATTTGCAGATAAATGTATAAAAATATAGAAATTGCCTCATGAAGCTTCCAAGGGCCCTTTTTTTTCCCCTTTTCACCCCAGGAATCCAACACCCTGGGGTTTGAATGCACCCCTGAGGAGGTGGATCTGCACGACATCACTGAGAACCAGATGAACACCCTCAGAGCCTGCACAGCTGAGGATCCAGGGGTAAAACACAGAGAAATGACAGATAACATTTAAATGTTGCCTCATGGTTTCATGGAATGTATCATCCACACTCCCATTAAATCACAAATCTCAATTCCAATTTGCAGCCTGGAAATTGCCCAGTCCTGGAAAAATCAACTTTTGATGAGGTAAATAGAAATTTCAAAAAAACCTCCTTCTTTTCCTCATTGTATGTTTAAAGGAGCAGCAGACTCCCACATTTCCTGACAATTCTATTTATTTCCTGACAATTCTATTTATTTTCCCCAGGGAAAATGCCTGCAGGGCATCTCTGAGGACGTGAGAGCCTACAGGGCTCAGCTGAGGAGCCTCCCTGACCCCCAGCTGCTGGCAGCTCTCGATGGGATGATGGAGGTGAGGATTCCTGCCCCCCACAGACCCCAAAATTCAGCCATTAGGGAAGGAAAACCTCCATTTCCCCTCCAAATATTGGAATCTAACAGACCTGGTGCATCAGGTGTGACACAGGGTGGATTAAAGGTTGATAAATCCAATTTTAGCCTCAGTCTATAAATGCAATCATGAAATGTTTGAAATTTTACCTTATTAGTGATAAGATTCAGTATTTCAAATTTTAGCCTCAGTCTATTAATGCAATCATGAAATATTTCAAAATTTACCTCATTAATGATCAATTCAATATTTCCAATTTGACCCTCACTCTATTCAGGGTAAAATAAATATTTCAAAATGTACCCTATTAATGCTATCATTAAATAGTTCAAATTTTATCCTGAATCCTTTAGTGCTATCATTAAATACTTCAAAATGTATCCTACTAATGACAAATTAAATATTTCCAATTTTTCCCTCACTCTACTGATGATAAATTAAATATCCCAAATTTTTCCCTCACTCTATTCGTGATCAATTAAATATCCTAATTTTTTCCCTCACTCTATTTATGACAAATTAAATATCCCAATTTTTCCCTCGTCTATTCACCTTAAATTAAATATCCCAATTTTTTCCCTTTTAATAATTTAAACATCCCAGATTTTTCTCTCCGTCTACTTAGGACAAATTAAATATTCCAAATTCTTCCTTCACCCTATTGACGATAAATTAAATATCCCGAATTTTTCCCTTTCAATGATAATTTAAACATCCCAAAGTTTTCCCTCAGCCTATTTACAACAAATTAAATACCCCACATTCTCCCCTCACTTTATTCACCATAAATTAAATATCCCAATTTTTTCCCTATTAACAAGAAATCAACCATCCCAAATTTTCCGTTTGACCCATCCTCCATCCCACTCTTCTTGCCGCTCTTCCCTGAGGGGGTGAAAATCCCAGGAACTTTTTGGGGTTTTAAGCCGTTCTCCAACCCCTGCAGGCCCTGGGCAGCAGCACCGGGCAGGTTCCGGAGGCACCGCTGGCATCGGGACCATCGGAATCAGTGGGACCATTGGGATCAGCGGGATCATCGGGATCATTGGGATCATCAGGGCCATTGGGACCATCGGGATCATTGGGGCCATTGGGATCACTGGGATCATTGGGGCCATCGGGACCATCGGGACCATCGGGATCACTGGGGCCATCGGGGCCATTGGGATCGGCGCCGTTCCCGGAGCGGCTGCGGCTCTGCGGGGTGCTCCAGGCCCTGCGCGTCCGCAGCGTCACCATCGCCAGGGTGCTGAGCTTCCTCAGCTCCCCCTGATCCTGGGACATCCTGGGGGAAACACACACCCAGCACCCCACAGCATTCCCACAGCTTGAGCCCCTTTAAGCCCCTTTGTTAAATTCCCGGGGTTTTGGGATTTAAGCTACATCTGAGCACCAAAACGCTCCTGACTCTGATTTATCCGTATTTATTCTGCTGAGTCCTCAGGAACTGAGAGCTGCTCATGATCATTCCTTTTCTTGGGGATCCCTTCCAACTCAGGATAATCTATTCCATTATTTATTTGGGATGGCATTCCATTCTGTTCCCTGATGTTTATGATGATATTCCTTGATTAGAGATTCCATTCTATTTCATAATTTATGATGGTGTTCCTTTATTTATGATGATATTCCTTCATTTATTATGATATTCTATTCTATTCCACTTTGTGATGATATTCCTTGATTTATTTATGATGATATTCCTTGATTTGAGATTCCACTCTATTTCATTATTTATTTATGATGATATTCCTTTATTTATTTGAGATTCCACTCTATTTCATTATTTATTTATGATGACATTCCTGGATTTATTTATTATTATATTCCTTGATTTATTTATGATTATAATCCCTGATTTATTTATTATGATATTCCTTCATTTACGATGATATTCCATTCTATTCCTTGATTTATTTATGATGATATTCCTGGATTTATTTATGATATTCCATTCTAGACCACAATTTATTTATGATATTCCCTATTTATTCTATTTATTGCCTAATAAAATCAAGGTTTCCTTCAAAACCACGGTGATTTTTTTGTCCCTTGGGATCCACCATGATCCTTTGCAATACTTTGGATATTGCTGCCATTGGAAGGCACCTCCCTGTAATTTGTTTCAAAATCCAAGTTTCCCTCTTGGAAACACCTGGGATAGGGAAGGTGTCCCTGCCCCTGGCAGGGGTTGGAATGGGATGGGAGATTTTGGGATTTCCATCCCAAAAAACCCCTTGGATGCCTCTGGTGCCACCTCCAGCTTTTCCAGAGGCTGAGGAACAACTTCCATCCTCCTCCTCTTCTCAGAAAATCAACAACTTCCCAATACTTCATCCAACTAGAACAAAAATCAAAATTCAGATGGAAATAATGGATAATTTTCCTGTTTAATCCTTATTTTTCAAAAGTCTGTTTTCCTTTCCCAAACATACACAGAGGAAGATGATCCCAAGTCTCCCACAGCCTTAAAAACAAGCCAGTCCTGGATCTGGTCGCTCCTCTCTTCTGCAAATTCCATTTCTCCCAATTTTTTTCCAATCCTGCAGCACAGAGATTTCGGCACCTCACATTTTAAGCACCTAAATTCTATCCAAGTTCGAATAAATCAAGTAAAAAAAAACCAAAAAGAAGTATAAAAAGTTTCTCATACAAAAAAGGAATTACAAAACGTAAAAAAAGGAGACAAGCTATACAGAAAAGAGGGGAGAAGAAATTCCATGGGGAAATTCCGAGCTGCCTGGAGTTCACAGTGGTGTTCCCATCTTTGGGAATCTCAGGAAGCAGAACCACAGCTTAACAAGGACTGGATGCACAGGATCTGTACAATAATTCCATATATACAGTGATTATGCCAAGGAATTTGGTACAAGTTTCGGATTATTCTTCCCTGATCCATGAGAAATCCAATGCACCTCACGATTCTGGCAGTTCAGTGGCTTTGGAAGGGGATGAAAGGTTCCAGGGGAATTCTTCTCCCTGTTTTTTCCCTGAAGGAAATAAAAATCTTTTCCAGGTGATGAAAAAGATCAAGTGGCTTCTCCCAGTGTTTGTGTCCTCCTGGAGGGGCTTTGCCTGGGGGTGAAGCCCAGAATTCTGGGATCCACCTCTCCTGAAAGCCTTGGAAGTGGCTCCTGCCCACACCAAATTCCATTCACATTTTTCTGGAGGATCCTGCCTGGACTTCCCACCAGGAACATTCCAAAGCCTCAGCAGGATCCCAGGGGAGCAGAATGGTTGGATTGGGAAGCTCCCACCTCCTCCTCCTCTTCTTCCTCCTCCTCCTCCTTCCAGCTGGCTCAGCTCTGAGCCAGGAAACCTGAGGGAAAGGAAAAACACACCTGGATTGTGGAACCTCTGGAAGCTCCTGCAGGACTCAAACTGAGAGAAACTGGATTTAAAAATGTTTACGTTGAAAAATAAAGGTACAAAAAACTCCCTGCCCTGAGGCAGCACAAGGCTGTGGCACAGAGTCTGAGAGGAAGAGCTCTCCACCTTTTCCAGCCAGGTTCTTTCCAGGGAGAATTAATCATGGAACCAGCAAGTTCTCTATCAGGGAAGGTGTTAATTAACCATTAATTAACCATTCCTGAACTAAAGACCCAAACAGCTCCTCTTAGGACTTCCAGGAAATCCCAAGAACTGCTCTGGACACCCAGGTCATGCTGGGAGTGCTCTCCATGCTCGGGGCAAAAATATTCATTTTGTAACAGCCCCTGAAGGATAAAAACACCACAAGAAATAAAGTCACTGCTGGAAGTGGAAAGGAGACAATTGTGACCTCCAGAACAAACGGCGCAGTGGTGATTTGGTAAATTCCCTGATGGAATTCCCAACCCAGCCGAGTCAGGATGGGTTCATTCCCCGGGAGCTGATACCTTGCAGTGCCTGCAGGATCTCATAGGTGGCTTTTTCCCCCAGGCTCCTCTGCAGAGCCTCTGCAGTGCCCTGGCCCTGCTCCCTGTCTCTCCACTTCCTCAGCACCAGCAGCTTCTGCATGGTCACGTCGTCCTCCGAGGCCCGGATGTCATCGATGTCCTTCATCTCCATCTGGAGGCACTCGATGGCCATCTCCCTCCAGTGCCGGTCCAGCAGCTTGGCAATCACCAGCAGCTGTTTGTCTGTTAAGCTTTTTGCTCCCATTACATCTGAAAAACATTGGATTTTCCCCAGAATCCACCCTGAGCCTGCCCTAGCCATTCCCTCTCCCCCTGCCCCTGTTCCCTGGGATAGGATCCCAAATCCCCCCGGCTGTCCCCTCCCGTCAGGAGCTGTGCAGAGCCACAGGGTCCCCCCTGATCCCCCTTTTCTCCAGGCTCAGCCCCTTCCCAGCTCCCTCAGGATTCCCCAGCCCCTTTCCCAGCCCCATTCCCTTCCCTGGCCATGCTCCAGCCCCTCCAGGTCCTTGTGAGGAACCCAGAAGTGCCCCAGGGCTGGGGGAGCCCCAGCAGTGCCAGCACAGGGGACAATCACAGCCCCAGGACGTCCTTGGCCAGGCCTGGCTCATGTCCAGCCACTGCCACCATCACCCCCAGCCCCTTTTCCACCAGACACCTTTCCAGCTGCACTTCCCCAGGCCTGGACCATTCCACAGGGAAGGGAAAAACCTCTGAAGACTGAGCTCAGTTCCAGTCCCAGGACACCAAATCCCAACCAGGTCCTTTCCCAGCCTTTCCCACCTGCAGTGCCGCCGGTTTTTTGCTTTTTGCTGTGGAGCCCCTCTTCCTCCAGGATGCTGAGGGCTGGCTTCCTCCTCTTCACACCTGGGGAGGGAGCAGAGGTGCTGTCACTGCTGTCCCTGCTGTCCCCTGGGCCAGGGAGGGGAGCAGGGTTCCACCCTGCAGGGCCATCACTCACTGCCTGTGCTCCTCTTCTGCTCGTTCTTGTTCAGGTCATAGTGGATCCAATCCCCTGGGGAGGGCAGAGCAGGGAAATGTCAGTGAGGAGTTCCCAGTGCTGGGCCCCAGCTCCAAGGATTCCCAGGGATAAAGTTGGAACCCACAAAGGGGGGATTCCAACCCCTCAGGTTTGACAGAAGGAGATTTTCCCCCTTTCATTGCACGTGCTGCAGCAGGCCCAAACAGGCAAGAGAGATTGCAAGTTATAATGCAATAATATGCAAATTTTTATTATATTATACAATCCTATGGATAATATATGGAGTAATATGCAGGAGGGCTGGAACTGAATGGTCTTTAAGTTCCAAATGAAACCATTCCATGAGCAGAGGGATGGAGCAGCTCTGCTGGGAGAGCTGGGATTGTTCACCCTGCACAGGAGAAGCTTTGGGGTGACCTCACTGGGGCTTTCCAGTGCCTGGAGGACCTGCAGGAAAGATGGAGAGAGACAATTTCCAAGGGATGGAGGGACAGGACACAGGGAATGGCTCCCAGTGCCACAGGGCAGGGATTTGGATGGGATTTGGGAAGGAATTCCCTGGCAGGGTGGGCAGGCCCTGGCACAGGTGCCCAGAGCAGCTGGGGCTGCCCCTGGATCCCTGGCAGTGCCCAAGGCCAGGCTGGGCATTGGGCTGGGAGCACCTGGGACAGTGGAAGTGTCCCTGGGGTGGCACTGGGGGGGCTCTGAGGTGCCCCCATCCCTCCCTGACCATTCCCCATTGCCAAGGACTCACTCTCTCTCAGCTTGGCTTTCCAGACAGTCTCATCTGAGTCCTGCTCCACCAGGGACAAGGTGAAGTCATCAGGCTTCTCCAAATACACCTCAAAGTAACTCTTCAGCTTCAGCAGTGACCCGTCAACAAACTCAATCTCCTACACAACAGAAATAGCAGAGAAATGTAAATATTTACCCAAAATAAACGAAAGAGAAGGCAACAACTGGCTGTTGGGAGAGATCCAAACCAAACTCCAATTTCCCCAGAGTTCTGCTGTTGACTTTAGCATTAGGATCTCATCCCAAAATTTTAGGACTCCAAGAGGCAAATGGTTCTTTTTTTGTGGCACATTTTCAGGGAAGCTGCAGTGCAGGAGGTCAGAGCTGTGCAAGGGACTCACCTCAGGAGTTATTTCAGCCTCTGGCTCACAGATCAGTCTGTACTTCTTTCCTTCCTGCAGTAACTTTTGGCATACTGGGGGCTTTTCAATTTGAACAAATTTCCTTTTTGAGTGCTTTACAGCCTTTGAGATATCCTAAAATTTAAAAACACCATTTCAAGCTTCATATTTCAATGTTACTCATTTCAGTAAAGGATTTAACATCTAAAACCTGTGCTCAGGTGGCTCCTCAGCTGGGGCTGTTGTCTGGCCCCAGCTTTACAGAACAGCCATGATCTGTTCCATGAACTTCCCAGAAAGCTGAGGAATAACCACCACACTCAAAAAGCATCACTAAACCCCTCCAGCTGTTCTGCCACAGGGCTGAAATGAGGTAAGAGAGTTTGCAAGCTGAGGAAAAGGAAGGTTTTTGTCCCTGTCCTCACTGTAAAAGGGTGAATTCAAGCCCTGCTCCTGCCAGAGCTCCTGAATGATCCCACAAACCAAATTTCCTAATTGTAACCCACTGCAGGGCAAGGCAAGGAATTTTCTGAAGCTGGAATTTTATCCAGGGTTAGTCCCATGGCCTCCCTTTTCTCTGCTCTCCTCAGAGGTCATTTCTGATGTGACCCTTGCCAGCAGGGGAATTGGTGGCACATGGATGAACCCATTGTCAGCTGCTTTCCCAAATCCCCAAATTTTCACTGGGAACTCCAGCACTGCCCCAGGCAGCCTGTTCCAATGCTTGGCCACCCTTTTCCTGAAGGAATTTTCCCTAATATCCAATCCAAACCTCCTCTGCCACAACTTGAGGCTGTTTCCTCTTGTTACCTTGGAGAAGTGACTCGGATAAAGAAGGGAAATGGAAATGGTCAGAGAGAGACAATTTACAAGGGATGCAGTGACAGAAAAAAGGGGGAATGGCTTCAAATTCAAAGCCTGAAGGTTTAGATGGGATATTGGGATGGAATTGTCCCCGGGAGGGTGGGGAGGGCTGGGATGGGATTCCCAGAGCAGCTGTGGCTGCCCCTGGATCCCTGGCAGTGCCTAAGGCCAGGCTGGACACTGGGGTTGGGGCAGCCTGGGGCAGCCGAGGTGTCCCTGCCCATCCAGGGGTGGGATGAGATGGAATTCAAGCTCCCTTCCACCCAAACCATGGAACCAGGACTCCTCACCCACCCACCCAGCCTCCCCAGGGGCAGCTCCAGCCAGGGCTGTACCTTGATGAAGGAGTCGTTGTTGGTGGCCAGGTAGACCCAGAAGGACAGGGAGGGGTGCTCGTCGATGGCCTTGTAGAGGATGACAGCGCCGTGGTACTGCAGGGGCTCCTGGCTGTGGATCAGGGGTCCCACGGGGGACAGGGAGCTCACCACCCACTTGACGTGCGACGCCGAGAACTCGGCCGAGGGCTCGATGGCCGCGCCACCGGCCTTGATGTGCAGCACCTTGAATGCCACGCCATCCCCCTGACCTGTGGGGACAGCCTGGATCAGCTGGGGACAGCCAGGAGCAGCTGGGGACAGCCTGGGATCAGCTGGGGACAGCCAGGATGCCCCCACACGTCCCCTGTGTCAAGCTGTGCCTGGGGTGTGTGTTCTATCCCCACCTGTCAGAGCTGGGGCAATTCTCTGCTGCTCTTTGGGCAGTTTTCTTTATCTCTCCCACAGCCAACCCTCCCTCCAGGAGATCTCTGCTGTTCATGGGCCATTCATTATTAATTATCTCCTGTCCATGGCCAGTGAGTGTCCCTGCAGGGCTGATCCAATCCCATCATCCCATGGGGAGATGCTCCGCCCAGGGGAGGAGCCAAGCATTCCTACCTGGGTACAATCTGAGCTTTGGGACAGCACAGCAGCCTCTGCCCCCTGCATTGCCAGAGGAGCAGCTTCTGCTGCCCTGCATTGCCAGAGGAGCAGCTTCTGCTGCCCTGCATTCCCAGAGGAGCAGCTTCTGCTGCCCTGCATTGCCAGAGGAGCAGCTTCCTGCTGCCCTGCATTGCCACAGGAGCAGCTTCCTGCTGCCCTGCATTGCCAGAGGAGCAGCTTCCTGCTGCCCTGCATTGCCAGAGGAGCAGCTTCTGCTGCCCTGCATTGCCAGAGGGAGCCCAGGCCCATCTCCAGCAGCCCTGGAGCTGCAGAGGAAAACTCCCCCCTTGTGCAGGATCCCTGCTCCAGCAGAGCCACAGCTGGCACTGCAGGAGGGCTGAGCCCCCATGGGATGGGGCTGTGCCACCCCCTGACACACAGGGGACAGGGCCTGCTCTCACTCTGGAAGGGTTTTTTTGTACTACTGCTGCTGGATTAAGCTTCATTTTTTACTTAGAAATGGGGTAATTGAGAGGTGTTTTAAAAACTTTTATTTTTAGTTTTACATGGAGGGTGAGATAATATAGATGTTATGATTTATGTTATTATGATTAGAAGTTAATTATTTTAAAATTATATTACATATTATATATTACATATTATATATATTATATGTATATTATATATATTATATATAATCTGTCACCATAATATTTTTTGAAAAATCCCTTTGCCAGGATTTTTTCTCCTGAGAAGCTGGGAAGCTTCAGCTTCTCCACGTTTTACTCCTCTGGAACGTGATCTGGAGAATTGTTTACCCAGCATGTAAATTGTTTTTATTTAATAGCCAATCCCAGCCAGCTGTGTCAGACTCTGAGTCTGTCACAGGTTTTTATTTTTCATTCTTGTTCTAGCCTTCTGATGTATCTTTTCTCTATTCTTTTTAGTATAGTTTTAGTATATAATTTCTTAATATAATATAATATAATTATAATATAATATAATTATATTATAATTATAATATAATTATAATATAATACAATATAATATAATTGTATTTACTATAATTATAATTATATCATAATTATATTACATATAATATTTATAATTATGTAATATTATATCATATATAACTATAATAATATATCTTACATAATTATATTATATAAATATATACTTTATAATTGTAATTATATGATACATATAATAGTTATAATTATAATATAATTATAATATATAATAATGTAATATAATGTTATGTTATGTGTTACATGTGTTATATATGTTACATGTGTTACATATGTTACATGTTACATGTGTTGTGTGTTACATGTTACATATGTAACATATGTGTTATATAGGTTGCATATGTTACATGTGTTATACATGTTACATATGTAACATATGTTATATATGTTACATGTTATATCAGCTGTCTAAGAACTTGGGAGTCAATTGTCATCTGTCACCTCGTCCTGGGGCCCACACCACCACAACACCAATCTATTATTATTATTATTATTATTATTATTATTATTATTATTATTATTATTATTATTACAATTATTCTGCCAATTCCTGCCCCCCCGAGCAGCCCCACTCACCCCCGAGGCAGAGGCAGTGCGGGAATTGGATGGAGAGCAGCGCGCCGGGCGCCGAGCAGCGCACGTCGAACAGGGGCCCGCCCACGATCCAGGGCGGCTGCACCAGCTGCGCGTACTTGCTCCAGGAGAGCAGGCAGTAGGTGACCCTGGCCCTGCCCGTCACCTCGAAGATCAGCCCCGTGCTGCTGCACTGGTAGGAGCCCTCTGCGTCCAGCTGCACCCTGCAGGAGACACCAGAGCTCGGCAGGGGCTGCCCCAGGGACTCCCTCGCGCTCTGTCCCTGCCCACAGCGTGCTCCAGGCTGCTTTGGGGCTGTTAAAAACGGCTCAGGGCTCACCCGGCCTATGCAAAAGGAGAGTTTTGCATAAAACTTCCTGTGCCAGGAGCTGCTCTCACGCAAAGGGCACAGCGACATGTCCAGTGTTTCCTGTGGATAACACCCAGAGCCAGCAGACACGTCCTGCAGGGACATCCCACAGGGACCACCCCAGGGCACACAGAGCGGGGACAGTGCTGCATCCCAGGGACAATGCAGGGCTGAAGGGGAGGGTGAAGCAGGACAAGATGCTTCCTGTGCAGCCAGGCTGAAATAAGCACATGAAAATGGGCCTGCTGCTCATTACTGCAGCAGGACGAGGCACATCCTGAAAACCCTCCCAGGAGTTGTCTTGGACCAGGATCTGGAAGCAGCACAGGCTCTAAACTGTGATGTTTAGGGATCTGGGTGCACCTCCCAGTATAAATCCAAATGCATTTGTGCAGCAAATGAGCTGTTTGCCCACCCAAAGACTGAAGCACCTTGATGACAACAACGTAAACTCAAACCCATTACATTAAAAAAATTCATACATGAATTGTCCTCCAGCAAGTCTCCTGGGGGTCACTTGCTCCTTCTGGTCCTGGAAATAGATTTTAAAAAAATTATCTTTAAAAAGGTGAGGAGAGAGTAGAATTACAGTTTGCAAATGATCTCATGCAAAGTAAGTGGGTGTTTCTTTCCCCACAAACCTACATTTTCATTCCTGCAGTGCTCACAGGGTGGCAAGTAGCTCCCTTCGACTGGGAAAAGAGGAAGATGACCTCATGAAAAGTCATGGTAATTAAACAGCCAGGCAGTAAAACAAAGCCCTCAGGAGATCTGTTCCTACCTGACTCATGGCAGTAAGGCGGGGATTCCTTCTCCTCCTGTTCTTCATCTAGGGAAAAGGAGTTTGGAGTAAATATTTCAATATCCAGGGGGTTTCTGCTCCCACATTCACCCAGGACAGCCCCACAATTCCATTTGCTTAAATTCACCTTAGGAGAACATTCCTGAGAGTACTTGCAGGCTTTGCACAGCCTGGGGATGAAGATGAACATCAGGATACAAATTTGCCCAAAAGCTCCTAAACTGCCCAAACTCCTGGGAATTTTCACAGGGGTTAACAAAAGATTTATCCTGGGATGAGCCTCATGGTGCCAAGGACAAGGTTCAGCCCCCAGCATGGAAACTGGGAACAGCTTTCCCAAAAAAACACCACATTGTCTGCAGAGTGCTTGTCCCCAAAAAGTGCCTGGATTCTCCTGGCTGAACCCAACAGGATGGAATTCCAGCAGAGCTGAGACCTCAGGCCAAAGGCTGTGTCCTGAGGGCTGATTTGGGAGCAGGGGAGTGGCAGAGCTGCCAGGATCAGCTGCTTCCCCATGCCAGCTCCCTCCCAGGCCAAAGGGGTCCTGGAGGCTGTCCCAGGCTATCCTGGAACCCCAATCCCCCCTGGGATAATCAGGGGCTGGGAGAGGCAGGAAGGCAGCAGCCAGCCCTGGCTGTGTGCCCCAGACCCAGCAGGGCTGGAACAGCCCCAGGAACACTCCCCAGCTCTGGGAGGGAGCTCCTCATTTCCACCCCTCATTTCCTAGGGATGCTCTCCAGCAGCTCCTTTTCCCAAAGAGATGGAGCTGCAGGCTGGGCCAGCCTGGAATCCTTCCTGCCTTCCTCCTGCTGAGCAGGGGCAAACAGGCACAACAAACCACACTCACCCACAGCCTTCCTCCATCCCACTCCTCTGCATCTGCCCAGCAAAACCATTGGGACTGTTAAATTATCAGTGTTACATAAAAGCAGCACAAATGCTGGCAACAGATCCCATGGAAGCACAAACCCACCGACAGCAAACACTTCCTTTCATTATTTTCCTGTCCATCCTGTTTGGCCACTTCTGTTGCCAACTTTTAAGGAAATTTATGGCCTATTGGTGTTTGGAAAACTGCTGTGGTGTAAAAATACCCGTGGGTATTGTGTCTGGGGTGCTGTGTCTGCGTGGTGAAAGCAGCACGAGCTGCTGCCCTTTGATCAGTGATCAGAAACCACTGCATCCCAAAATTTTATTGGGAGAGCAATCAGAGCTAGCATTCCCTAATAACTGTGAGATTATACCCAGGAGAAGCAGCTGGTTTAAACTGAACATCAGTTTTTAAAAAGCAAACAGAAAAATAAATCATCATGCTCTGCTCACCTGACTCCTCTTCCAAGCTGCTGCCCTTTGATCATTGACAGAAAATCATTGGCTCCCAAAAAATTTATTGGGAAAGCAATCAGAGCAAGCATTCCCTAATAACTGTGAGATTATATCCAAGAGAAGCAGCTGGTTTAAACTGAACATCAATTGTAAAAAAGGGATTACAAGTAAATGAATCACAATGTCCTGCTCACCTGACTCCTCTTCTGAGCTGCTGCTGGAGCTGTCTTCAGAACTGGCTTCTCCTTAAAAACAGGCACAGGAGGAATGTGAGTCCAGGATCCACCCAGAGGTTTGGATCCAGCAGGCCAGGCAGCAGGTTAGATAATGGAACAGAAAAAAAAGAATTTGTGAGGCAGGGAAAAGCATCAGAGCATCAAACCCCACACCAGGGGAGACTCTGGGGTCACGCAGGCCCTTCTGAAGGGTGATCAGAATATTGAAATCTCCTGTATTCCACAACCTGGGATGATTCTGGAGCTCCACCCATGGCACATCCCAGTTAAATTATGGCTTTCCAAGGCAGGCGGGAGCAGCCTTGGTGGGAGCCGTGTGTCCCACAAGCTGTGACTCGTGTGGAGGCACCAACCAATTAATTATTCTTACAAATGGCATTTGGAGAGAAACCAGCACTGGGAAGGCAGGGATGTGTTCTGGGATGTGGCTGGGGGGAAATGTGGGATGCAGGAGCAGGCACCCCCCCCCAGGAGTGAGGAAATCCCAAATCCCTGAGCATGGTGGGCTCACCCTCCGGCTGCTCCTCGGCCGACCCCGATGATCCCTCCATGCCATTGGGTGTCACCTCTGCAAGGGAAAGGCAGGGAGGAAGAGTTGGAGAGGGATTGAACTCCTCTCTTGCCAATTCTGCACTCAGAGAAAGGGAATAAATAACAAAAGAACAGGCATTTTAAAACCCAGCATAAAAACCAAAGGAATCCATAAACAAAGGGCTTACACCAAGGTTTTAAAGCCAGCTATAGAATTCCCATTCCCATTCCAAAGGATGAGCATTACCCAAATTCCCTGTACCTTTTCAACTGGTTTTTAAAGCCAGTTCCAGAATTCCCATTCCCAAAATCCCTGTACCTTTTCAACTGGCTTTTAAAGCCGGTTCCAGAATTCACATTCCCAAAATCCCTGTACCTTTTCAACTGGCTTTTAAAGCCAGTTCCAGAATTCCCAAGGATGGGCATTTCCCCAAACCAGTGTACTTTTCAATTGTTTTTTAAAGCCCATTATAGAATTTCTATTCCCATTCCAAAGGACGGGCATTTCCCAAAATCCCTGTACATTTCCAACTGGTTATAAATCCCATTATAGAATTCCCATTCCCAAGGACAGTCATTTCCCAAAACCAGTGTACTTTTCAATTGTTTTTTAAAGCCAGTTATAGAATTCCCATTCCCCAGGATGGGTACTTCCCAAGATCCCTATACCTTTCCAAATGGTTTTTAAAGCCAGTCTCAGAATTCCCACTCCCATTCCCAAAGTCCCTGTACCTTTTTCATCGGAGGAGAGGGACTCAGCCCCGCTGGAAGACAAAAGCAGGCACACATGAGAGCTCTGCCAGCCCTTTCCCACACTCCCACAGGGCCAGCATTCCCAGCTCCCTCCCCTGGCACCGCTCCCAGCCCCGGGAATCCGGGGGGATTCAACATTCCCCTCCTGCAGCATCAGCCCTGCCCTGGCTCCCTGCTGGCCCCTCTGGGGACACCTGGACACGATTCCCACCGGCAGCAGCTCCTGCTCCCAGCCCTTTCTGCCAAGCACCCGGCGCCCGTGTCAGCGCCCGTTGGATTTGGGAGCAATCCAAGCAATCTCCGGGCAGGCAGGAGACCCAGATAAACTCTGCTCTCCAGCAGAGCCATCTGTGGCAAACCACACCAACCTCCAGCTCCACCCGCCCTGGAAAAGGGAAACCTGCTGTGTGCATCACCCACAGATTAAAATCCTGCTTGGAAACCTTTTCCAGGAGCTCCACGACATCTGCCAGGCAGAGCCAGCAAGGAAAAGTGCCCTGAGGAAGGGAAGGGCCCTGGGTGCAGCCACCATAAAGCAGCAGGTGACATCCAGCTCACTGCACTGTGGTGGCACCAGGAACCACCCCAGAGCCTCCACCCTGCCAGGGGCAGCTGCAGGAGCAGGCAGGGAAGAAGAAGCATCCCAGCCTTTTTTGGGAGCTGCGAAGGCCACGGTGCAATCCCACAGCGCATCCCAGAGATGCTGGGGATGGTGAAGCCAAGTTTTGGGAGCTGCTCAGCTCTGGGGGGTGATTTTGGCCACCCTGGGAGCTCATGGAGTGCCCCTGGAATGAGTGGGCATCACCAGGGGGGCCACACTGGGGCCCTCAGCCTCAGAATTGAAAAAGAAATAAATAGATGGGAATAGCAGAGGCAGGAAAACCAATGAGTGAGGATTCCTGAGGAGCTCAGCTGGGGGGTCCTGGCAAAGCACAGCAAAGGGACTGCAAAACTTTCTGGGTCAAGAGCAGGAAGAAGTGGGAAGGCTTTTCCCCCCACAAGGAATTACACAACAGTTTGCTCTTCCAAACTGTATCTTGGAAGAAAAAAAAAAAAAAAAAAAGAGTAAATTTATTTATCTGGAGGATTTGGATGAAGCCTGGATGCTGTCCAGGGCCGGCAGCCGAGCCAGGCAGTGTTTGTGCAACCCTTCAACCCTTCCACCAAGTGCTGGCTTGCTAAAATCGGGATCGCTTCCCTCCAACCCCTCCAGCTGCATTTCCCTCCTCCCGCGCTGGCAAACGGCGCAGAACCGGGGCAGGGAGGAGGGAGAAAATACAGAAAAACACAGAAACAACAACGCAGCCGAGCGAGCAGGCGGGCACGACGCCGCTAATAACTGTAACCATCAACTGCGAACGGGCACGGCGGCTCCCGGCGCGATAAAGGCACGGGCAGATAAACACGAGCGGCGCTCGGCGCTGCGGCAGCACCGGGAGCACCGGGGGGAGCCCGGGGGAGGCGGAGGGAGCCCGGGGCGGAGCGGGAGCCGCGCTTTGTCTGCGGCGGCGGCGGCGCGGCCCCGGCTCGGAGCGAGCCCCGCTGCAGGTGCAGGGCCGGGCCGGGCGCCCGCACCCACCGGGACAGGCTGGGCACGGCCGGGACCCTCCGGTGCCCGGGAACGGCGCTCGGGAGGGGATGGAGGATGCGGGGATGCAGGTGGGTGGGGGATGGGAGGATGCGGGGGGTGGGGCTGGGGGCGCGGGGGGACATCGGGGCGGGCAGGGGGACATCGGGAGGGTGCAGGGGGTGCAGGGGGACATCGGGAGGGTGCAGGGGGTGCAGGGGGACAGCGAGAGGGTGCAGGGGGACAGCGAGGGGCGGCAATAGCGGGCAGGGAGGCGGGGAGGGCGCGCAGCCGCGGGGCGGGCGGGGGTCCGGGGGCTGCCGGGGGGCCCGGGGGGCGCAGCGAGCCCGGCCCGGCCCAGCCCCGCTCACCTGTCGGGCTCCGGAGCCGGGCCGGACATCGCAGCAGCGGCACCGAGCGGGAACGGCCGCGTCCTGCGCGCGTGGGGGGGCGGGGCCAGCGGGACACGCCCCGGATACGCCCCCGATACGCCCCGGACACGCCCCCTCCTTGTCGCTCCTCGGTGTCCGTCTCATGCCCCCCCTCGGTGTAGGTACGGACACAACCGTAATTCATTAACGAATTCGTTAATGTAATTCATAAATAAACTGATAAAAATTCATCATGTAAAAAAATTCATCATGTAAAAAAATTCATCATGTAAAAAAATTCATAATTCAAAAAAAAAAATCATAATGTAAGTCATGAATAAACAGATAATTTTCATATTCTGGGCGCATTCCGTGTTAATTATTAAGATATTTGTGTTATCACACATATTGTAATGGTTTGGGTGGGAAGGGACCTCAAAGCTCCACTCGTGTCGCCCCCCCTGCCATGGGCAGGGACGATTCCCATGGATCAGGTTGCTCCAAGCCGCGTCCAACCTGGCCGTGGACACGTCAGGATTTGCCTGCTGCCGGCAGAGCTGCTTAGGGGGAAAAAAAAAGAAAAAGTTAAAATAAAAGAAAGGAAAAAAAGAAAAAAAAAAAGGATAAAAAGGGGGATAAAAAGGGAATAAAAGCCTCTTAACCAGAAGCGTTTTGGAGCTCCTGGAGCCTCTCAGCAGTGCAATAAATCCCGGAGCCCCAGCAGTGCTGGGCACCTCCCTGCAGTCCCTGGGATCGGGGAATTCCGGGGCTGCAGGCGAGGAAAGCCCCTCACACCCCTCACCCCACCCCGGCTCCTCCAGGCTGGGAACCCCCAAAGCCACCTGGGTTTGTGCCCCTTGCAGCGGGGGGGACCCAGGTGTGTGCTTTGGGGCACTTCCCTCATTCCTAGAGCTGATCCAGCCCCAGTCCACGGCTCAGCATCGTCCCCTCCCCTGTGCCCGCCCCAGAGCAGCTCTGGGTGCAGGGGGCTCTGGGGGGACCCTTTTGTGTGCGTGCCCAGGGCCCAGAGCAGAAGGGAAAATAATCTCAATAAACAAACGTAAGTGCTTGAGAAAACACAGAACGCTGCTCCCGGCGCCTTCCAAGGGCTCAGCTCCCAGCTCCTGGAAATATTCCGGACCGGGAGCCCCCTCAGGTCTGCCCCTCGCCCCAAATCCCACCCTCTGGAGCCCCAGGGCACCGAACACTTCTGGAACATCCGTATTCCCAGGAAACTCCGTGTGCAGAGCTCACAGGAACCGGCTGGGCTGCAAAGGGGGGGGTGTAAAACTGCTGGAAACCCAAAAAAAAAAAAAACAAACAGTTTTGGATGGGAAACCCTGGAGAAGTGACTGAAGGGGTTGGTTTGGGGAGAGGTGGGAGTGCCAGGGAAGGAAATCCCCTGTAAACAACTCGCAAATCCAGCCTGGAGCAAACTGAAGGAAGTGGGAAGGTTCATGGCACAACGACAGTTGGAGTAAATAATCACCCAGGATGGAGAATAAACAAGAAAAGGAAAGCAAAGCCAGGACAGACGGCAGGAGGGGAAGGTGGGGTTGCTCAGGGGGGTTTCGTTTTCCCCGCTCCATCCCCGGGATGCTGCTGGGAGCTTCCCAAGCGTGGCCGAGCCATCGTTTTCCAGCTTTTCCAGGCGGCCCCGAGCCAAGGATGATGCCGTGAACATCCCGTGAGCTGACACAGCCCGGGGCAGCCCCAGCCCAAACCTCTCCAGTTCCCAGCTTTGCTCGGAGAAATCCCAATTCTGAATTTTCCTCTGAGAAGCCCCAATCCTGAGTTTTCCTCTGAGAAATCCCAATTCCAAATTTTCTTCTGAGAAATCCCAATTCCCAGTTTTGCTCTGAGAGATCCCATTTCCCAGTTTTTCTCTGAGAAACCCCAATTCCCAGTTTTCCCCTGAGAAACTCCAATCCCCAGTTTTCCTCTGAGAAACCCCAGTTCCCAGTTTTCCTCTGGGAAACCCCAATCCCCAATTTTTCTCTGAGAAACCCCAATTCCCAGTTTTGCTCGGAGAAATCCCAATTCCAAATTTTCTTCTGAGAAATCCCAATTCCCAGTTTTGCTCGGAGAAACCCCAGTTCCCAGTTTTTCTCTGAGAAATCCCAATTCCCAGTTTTGCTCGCAGAAATCCCAATTCCCAGTTTTCCTCTGATAAACCCCAATTCCCAGTTTTCCTCTGAGAAATCCCAATTCCCAGTTTTCCTCTGAGAAACCCCAATCCCCAATTTTCCTCTGAGAAACCCCAGTTCCCAGTTTTTCTCTGAGAAACCCCAGTTCCCAGTTTTCCTCTGATAAACCCCAATCCCCAATTTTCCTCTGAGAAACCCCAGTTCCCAGTTTTCCTCTGAGAAACCCCAATCCCCAGTTTTCCTCTGATAAACCCCAATCCCCAGTTTTCCTCTGATCCAGCCCAGCAAAACTTTCCCAGTCTCCACCCCCAGCCCTTCCCAGCTCAGCCGCAGTCTGGTGCTGCCGAGGGAGGCTGCGATCCCTCAGACCATAAATCAGGTTTTTTTTCGAGGACAGGGACAGATTTAAGCTTTGCTGGCCCTTCCCAAGCCAGGCCTTTGTGTGCCAGAGGAAGCTGGTGCTGGCTGCAGCTCCAGGGGAATTCCTGCTGCTCCCTGCGGGGCTGGCATGCACAGCCTGAGGTGCCAGGCAGGAATTTTTAGGTTTGTCCCCTAAAAACCTGGGGGTTTAGGCTCTGGGGGCACCTCCCACAGCCCCTCTGGTTCTGCAGCTCCATCCCCTGAGCCCCACATTCATCCCAGTTTTACAGATGGGGGGAAATCCTGGAATGCAGAGCCTGAGGCAGGGATGTGGCGGGTAGCAGAAATGTATAAGGTGAGAAGAGAAATCTCCTCCTTCTTCCCTGGTAGATCTGGGTCTGGGTTTTCCAGAGAGTTTTTCAGCACAGAACTTCATGACACCTCTTCTTCTCCCTTCTCTTTTACTCTTTCTTCTCTTTCTTCCTCTTCTTCCTCC